GGTAGGCGGGCGGGCGGGGGGAGGGTCGGCGGGAGCGAGCGCTGCCGCGAGCCGGCGCGTGCAGCAGGCGCTGCAAGCTGCCCTAGTTTACAGCCGCCGCCGCCATGATGGGGGGGGCAGGGGGAGGAGGAGGATGGCGTCACTTCAGCGTCATGGCGTCACGGCCCACGGCGCGGGGGAAGGAGCGGAAGAGCGCATGTGACTCCCCGGCAGCTGCACGTGCCAGAACGGCGGAATCCCGCCCCCCCCGCTTCCTGTGCCAGGAGTCGGTTTCCGGCTCTGGATGCGTCACTGCGACAGGCAGCCAATGGGAGCCGCTATGTAAGGGCCGAGCTCCGCGCGCGGCACGTGACATAAGTGCCCGGGAGAGGGCGCGAGGCGCTGGCAGCTCGTTGTTCCTGCAGGGCGGGGGTGGGGCAGCCTTAACACACTCACCCCGGAGGACCTGGCTGTTGTGTATGCTCCTGGCAGCGCCGCCGGGCTTGGCTGCGTGCTCAGGACCTGGCAGCGTCGTCTTCGCGTCTGCGGGGAGAGGTGCTAGCAGGGAGTCTCCATGGATGTTACCTTGCAAAGCACAAGCAGGGGTGCAGTGTGAGGGCGGCGGAGCCTCCGGACAGACCAACGCAAGCGGATAAGGGCAAAGGAGCGTATGCGTGCGCGGAACTGGGACAAGCTACGTGTGTGTGCGTGACATTCAATACGTCTGTGTGTGCAGGGGTGTGGGGGAACGGACATAACATGTCTGTGCGCGCGTCTGGGATGTGCAGCGTGTATGTATGGGGAGTGGGCGGGACTAGGACATGCAACACCTGTGTGATCTTATTAAAAAGTCCTGCAGAGAAATAGGTTTTCAAACAAAGGTCCCCCCGCCTCCAGTCCTGGTTAAGGCAGGGTTTCTCAACCGGTAGGACCCGGGTCGCAGCAGTGAAACCGGAAGTGCCACTGGGAATTTCCGGTTTCGCTTTTCCGCGTTTCGATTGGCGGTTGGAGGATCCCGCCCCTTCGACTGGCCCCTGGGCCACCACCCCCCTCCGACCGGTGGGACCAGGATTTTTTGACCTTACATAGGTGGGACATAAGGTGCAAAAGATTGAGAACCGCTGCTCTGAGGGACTGGTTAGGATACAGATGCCTACAGGTTCTGCCTGGCAGTTATCGGAGGGAACATAAAGACGAGGGGCAGCCTGGAGGTTGGGGCTGACAGAACATGAGACCAGGAGAGAGCTGCAAGACAAGGGACGCTCTGGAGGGTGAGGACTGCAGTACCGCCTATCTGAAAGGAGGGTGCATATGTCCATGTTACAGTGAACACCCTTTTTTTGACATTAGCAATCCCTGTAAAAGATTTCTTGTTAAGAAACAATTTTTAATTGGCAACTACTGTAACTTGCACAGAGGTAAACAAGATCAATTTAAATAGCTGCCAAGTGCTTTTGCACGATCATCTCATTAGATGAATTAAGGTAATCAGCTTGGCAGCACTGCCAGAAAAAAGCAGTAAACAGAACCCATCCCACTGCACAAAGGAGGATGGGACACACTCCATTCCTCACCGAGGTGTACAATACCACTGCTGGACTAATTGGACCAGTAAGCCAGCCTGCAACGCAGAGTAACTAGCGTTGGTGAACAGGGAAAAGTTGCTTCTAATCTGAACAGGCCGAGCAAGGGCAAACTTTCAGCAAATGCTTCCAAACCTGGATAAGGAATGATTGAAAATAAGCAAATACCAGCAAGACATAAGGCAATGAGACTCTTTTTTTTTAAATCCCTCAAGTGCTGCTATGATGAGACAGGTGCTGAAGGTGTAAATCATGCAAACCCAGAGCCTGCAGTGCCTCATCCTAGTATAGTCACATCACTCTTCCTCCTTCCTTCTCTGCTTGGGACTTTCCAGCATCTCCTGGCCTAAGGGCATCTCAGGCGGCACCGCTGCCAGGTCTTATATATGAAATTATCACATTGGAAACTCAAAAGTATCATATTTGCTGAATATAAAATTAACCATTCCAAACAGGAGATTTTACCACACCTTCAACTCTATGAAATATGAACTTTCATTTCTACTCAGGAGAATGTTTACAATCTTTTCTTCGATGCCTGAAGAAGGATGCTTGTGCCCAAAAGCTTGAAATTAAAGAATTGTTTTTTGCAAAAAAAAATCTAGTTGGTCTAATAAAAGATATCACCTCTACCACGAGTTCTGATTCATATTTGATGAAAAAATCGCCTACACTGGACAACTATGCAAACAAGTTCTTTTTTACATTTCTGGCTGTAAAATGGCAGAGTGAGAACCAGGTCATAAAAGTTGAAGCAGTTATTTTGAGGCAAGCAGTCATAAGGAAGTGCCGGCAGCAAGCCCAAAAGTCAGTTAAGACTCCCTGAGCGTGACTTGGGTTTTGCATCTGCTGTGTCAATTAACTGCCTCAAAAATTATCGCATGTTTTCTCAGGTATGCAGGTTGTAGCCATATTGGTCTAGAGGAAAAAGCAATTAGGGCTTGTAGTAGAGACAGTATCTTTTATTAGACCAACACGATTTTGAACACTTATTGATGGTACATACAAAGGTTGAAGTTATCTGATAATTATCGTGTGCCTGGTAACACCGCTCCGCAGACACAAGCTTCGCTGCCATGCTTGGCCGGGTATACCTCGTACCCCTGCGCGCGGGCTGCAGGCTTCCCTGACTTGGCCGCCCCGTGGTATTTCCCGCCACGCCAGCCCCACGCTCCGCTCCAGGCCCTCCAGATCACGCGCTCCGCCCGCCCATACCACTCAGGGCAGGCGGGCGAAACCATTCCGTACCGGCAGCACGCATGCGCAGCTAGGCTCCGCCTTCCCCTGGCTCCCATTGGCGCGCGCGGCTGTGGGCGGGGCCGGCGTGACGCAGGCCGCAGCTGTGACCCCGACCGGATTCGATTCCATTCAGTACCCGGCCTGGAGCCCTCAATTGCCGTCCAACAGTCTCCCTGCGCTAACTGCCGCTGACGTCACCACCCGCCTCACCATGGCGCTCAGCGATGCCGACGTCCAGAAGCAGGTGCTGGCGCGGGGTCGGGACCGGGACGGGCCGGGGGGAAACGGGCGAGGGGCGTCCAGGACTCCCTAGGGCCAAAGCGCAGCCAGGCCTTGAGCGCGGCGCTTGCCCTTTGTAATAAAAATGGGTTTGAGCGGGCGCCGGGGGGTGTGGAAAGGAGCCCGAGAGGTCGCTGCCCCCCAGCGCCAGCCGCTGCTGCAGTCGCACCTGACATCTGTAACTGCCTTTTTCCCCCCGCCCTCCCTTGAAATGAAAATGCAGTTTACAGTAAACTGACCACGTCGCTGCCATGTAGGTCATGGGACAGAGCAGGAAACTGCCTCCTCTTAACTGCATCCAGGGTTTCTAGAGCTTCTCACAGTACTCCTGCATGGAGAGTTGCATTCATATCTACTTACCTCGTTCGGCAGACCCTGGTTAGCACTAGCTGCAGCTCATGTAGCAGATGTAAATCCCTGTGGGTGGTATAAGAAAGATGCCCCTTTTCCTGTGGCAGGAGGGAACACTAGTCCTCTTCCCATAGGAAACTGTCCTGTGAAAGATCTTCCAACTTCAGCAGAAACTAATTTCTCATAAGAATGCACCTTGTAGCGCTTGTTAAGGCTGTCACCATTCAGAATCTTGCTCTTTGGAGGTCTTTTTGTGTTTCAGTAAGAGGCGAGATGCACTTCAGAGTGTTTTGTGATCTGGGATCATCGCAGTGTCACAGGTAGTGCCTGCTTTGCTCAGTCCTGTCACAGCACTGTTGCCCTGCGCTCTCTTGAGTTGGCAGGCGCGGTTCCCTGAGCAGCTGTTCTAATCCTAGTGCTATCAAAGGTCTGTTTCTTTTCCAAGTATCCGTTCTGGGGCAGACCCTGTAGTCCTGTAGCAGCGGATCCTCAGCAACTTCCCATCGATTCTCAAATACTTACAAGCTTAGGTTGGATCCTCAAAGTCCCTGAATCCTTCACTTTCACTGCAGGTCCCTTTCTTCTCTCTGAAGCAGTCAAAACTTGTCCTTAGTCTGAGGGGAGCTCTGCACTTGCTAAGAAACATCAACTCTTCTCAAATACTTCAATTCCTTAACTTGTGATGATCCCAATACCAACCCAGAGACATGGGAAGCTGTTGCAAATGATTCAACACATCTTTGTGTATGGGCATTTGTCACTTAAAAGACTGCCCAGTCGGCCCTTCTTGTAGCCCAGGGAGGCTGTACCAATGCTATTGCAGAGCAATGATACAGAGGCTGTTGAGATCAGGTTTCAGTTTTTTGTTTCTCATCTAAATGTTCCTTAATTATGTGGTGACTTCTGTGTTTGCCAGTAGGGAAGACTTCCTTTCTGTGAAAGCAATGCTACTATATATGAGAGGGGGGGAGTACTGTGGAGTTCATGGGGCAAAAAGCTTGCTTCTCTTGAGTGCTTTCTTGCAAAAATATAACTGCTTTTTTTGCTGTTACAGATCAAGCATATGATGGCTTTCATTGAGCAGGAAGCTAATGAAAAGGCTGAAGAAATAGATGCTAAGGTAAAAATATCACGTGTGGAACAGCAAAAAGGATGACGTGCGGCATCCTAACTAGCTTTCCAGTCACCCCTTAAACAGGCCTACAATATTTCCACGAGGCCACTGACTTGCTTCACACACACAGGGTAACTGCACAGCAAAATGTAAGATACTGAATTAAGTTAATGTCAGAGTAGCATAATCAAAATAACCGAGCTGATGCTGTTTCCACATCTCCTTGTGAATGCCTACATGTGAAGGTATTAGAATGGAAAAACACGTTTTGATTCAAC